CGCCATCAACAAGGGCACTGTCAACGAAAAGCGCCCGACGACCTAAACTGCTACTAGTATACCAAGTGATGGAAATATCACCTTCACAACTGCGCACCTCGACTGTGACTGCGGGCCAACAACAGGCTCTCTCATATATATATGAACGTGTTTCGCGTTATCTTCATAGTTATACAAAGACTTCGCATACGTAGAGACTAGCAATCTCCTTAAGATTGCTAGTCTCGCAAAGGACTGACACAAGCGGTCGACAACAGGGTCGACCGCTTGCGAGGAGAGACGCCTCATCATAGATGCGACGCCGCTCACTCTGGGACGGAGTCACCCGAACCCACCAAAAAAGGCTCTCTCATAGTGACGGAATCCTCACTGCTGTCCGCTACGGTTGTCTCGGCATGGGTAGCAACCCAAGGACAATCTTCGCAAGTCCTTATAACCAGGTGCTCTCGACATTCGAGGCTGAAACGGCGATGCCAGTCATCCGGATACATGAAACACATGATCTGTTAACCGGATGATTGACCACTTCGCGGCCGACCAGCGTAAGCAGCGGCAGGTCATGGACATCGGCGCTGACGCGTCGCGTAGAGCACATTCGGCGGTATCACGCGGCCTCACGCGGCCTGCGATGGCAACGACAATGACGTGGCTAGTCTCCTTCGAATGACATCGAGCCGGTAACTTTTTTCGCACTTCGTAATAATAATACTATTACTATTTTTGTAAATTCATATCCGGATGACAGGCATTATAATAGGACCCCCGGTCACCCAGGGGGGTCAAGGCTTACCCTAGGGTAGATCCGCCATGATGGCCCCCGCCCCTCATACATCCCTGTTTGTAGATTGCCCCCAGGGTACGAGACCCCAGCCCAGCCCCCAGCCCCCAATGACCGGATAAGTGCCGGATATATGCCGGGTAAAACAGATGGCCATCACGCATGAGTGATGGTCCTCGGTGTGTCACACCGCTCGAGGATATGCTTAATTGCGAGGAGGAGGACGTCTTCTATCGCCACAACGAAGTAGCGTTCGGGTACAATATCCTATGCAAGCATTATACCCAACGTTTTGTCTCCAACACAGCAGCGTAATACAATGCTCTGGAAGTGTCCCGGGGTCATGCGCCACCCTAGGGTAGTGTCAGGATAGGCCCAGACCCCCACCCACAGAGCTCTTTGGGACCCCAGGGTAGGCCCTCCGACCCAAGGCCCCCGAGGTTTTGCCCAGGCTTTTGTAATGGGTGGGTGACCGGGGGTCCTATTTTAACTATTATAATATAATGCCTGCATCCGGATATGAATTTTCAACTTCATCATTTTGTGACTACCGCTGACGGACGGGCGATGGCCGTAAGCTGAAAGCCAGCGGCGGGTGGGGCTCACGCGCCTTCGTAGAGCATATCCGGAAGCGACGCGCACGAGACCATACGGAAGGGCAACGAGAATGAAGTGGCCGCGCTCCTGAGCCGCGGCTTGGACCCCAATTCGAGAACCGAAGTACGTACAAAGCACCTTGTGCCACGAGCGCTCACGTTTTTGATAGGGAGGATGGACGCTTCTTTATATCGCGTCCGTCATGGGCCATGAGGCTGTCGTGCGACGTCTCCTCGAAGCCGGTGCCGACGTCGATGGGCTGAGCAACGTACGTTGTCGCGCACTATGACCTTGGCCATGATGATCTTACTGACAGGATGGGCAAACGGCACTGCAAATTGTGACGTACAAGCAAAGCCCAGACGCTAACGACAGCGCCGACGTAGCCGGCGAAGTACGTCCTGCAGCATCGATTCCATGCCTTTCATATGCATATGATAGCTCGTCCCAGACCGTCCAAATCTTGGATGGCAGTGGAGTTTGGCTACTTTTCTACTCAGCGATGATATGAGGCTGTGTGAGGTCAATCGTATGCCGAGGATATCTGACATCTAATGTACTAGATGATACTAGATCCTTCAAGCCATTTTGGAAAACCATGTGCGGCGAAACGAATACAACGCCATCTGCGCCGTATTACGCAACGCGTCTGATCTACGTGACGCCGTGCGATGCTGCGAGGTTGCGCGCGTGAAAGATCTTTTAGAAGCCGGCGCTTCTCCCAACCTTGCGAACGAGGTATTGTCCACAATCCTAAACTTCTCGCGACTCCAACGTAACTAGGCTGCCGAAACACTGCTCCACATTGCGCTCCGCTTCTATTTGCAGCAGTCGTCCTCGGGTGCTACTGGCAATAACAGCCCCGAAGCCGAGTATCCGCTACTCGAGGTGCTCGTCGACGCTCCTGGGGTCGATGTTGCACGGCGCAACAAGGTATTTCTGTCGCCTCCGAGATCTACAAAGAATCAAAACGTTGACGCCTGGTTGTAGCTCGGCCAAACACCGCTCTGGATTGCATCCAAAGAGGGTCACGGCGTCATTGTCGAATTGCTTTTGAAATATAATGACACTGAGAAGGACGGTACTAAGAATAGTACGTGTCCCAGTATCAATCTGCCAGACAACGTACGTAGCTGGCATGTGAAAGTAGAGAGGTGATGTGTTTATTTTGGATGCATTAGGACGGCTACACCCCCCTCTCTATTGCTGTCAAGACTGGTCGGCATAGCGTTGTTCAATGTCTCATGAGCAACGGGGCAAACGTGAAGGACTCTACCACCAAGGTATCGCACATACTAGTACACGACGACGAGCGATATCTCTCTTTGGAATTGCGTAGCCCTCCCTCAAGCCTTTATACATTGCGAGGAAAAGGAATGACGATCGCATGGTCGAGTTGCTCGAAGACCGTCATGCACCGCACACAGCATCTTCACGCACCGTCTACCACATTGGTGTCCAGATCAATGGCAGCCACTCCACCACCAACGGAGCCGTGCATCAATACACCTCCTAGATAGGCATCTCGACTAGTAATCGTGCCTCGATGCTGCGAGTACGCGTCATGTGAATGTCTTGCTTCTCCTTGATTTTACGTTACCGCGCTCGACTAAGTACTGTATGGGCATCGAGCTCAAGAGCATTGATGTGGTGCGGCCACAAACGACGGCGGTAAGCAGGTCATCATGCACATCATCGCTATTGACCAGGGTACTGTCAACCAAAAGCAGTCAGCGACCTAAACAGCTACTAATGCTAAACTAGCATAGAATGTCTCTGCTCTGCAACCGACAACCTCAATGCGAATGCGGCAAAAACGCGCTTTCTCGCAGTGACAGAGACCTTCGAGCGTTGAGATATCGGTCGTCTCGGTGTGTACTTATGTTTATTATATGCATCGTCGTTGCAGTTGCGTCAAACTGACTCGTGGTTGCGAAGAGCAAGGTGCAGAAGTGTGTGCCCGCCTAGGCAGTACAAAATAATTCAGTGCTCGTTTTGATAAGCCGGGTGCATCTTGTTCGTCACGTACGGGAGCACACCTTGTGCCAAGAGCTCTTGGGCGCGCGAGAGGTGACTACCTCGCACTAGGATGCGTCGCGAGCCATGTAGTCGCTGAGAGGCAATAAGTTCGGGCGTCTCACCGTGCTGGAGGTTGGTGTCAGGTGCAAGAATACCGCGCTTGTGGACAGCATCGATAAGAAGCCGCACTACAGCTTCAAAGCCTTCGATACAAGCTGCATGGAGTGGCGACCGTCCAAACAACCATTTGTTGTTGTGAGCCGTCGCGCCATCTCTTCTCGCACACCTCGTCTTGGTGGTCAAGCGTCGCGCCGCTTCACGTCATGCTCGTTGCCAGTTCGGGCGTAAAGCCACACGTCGTACGACGAAGCATTCTACATTACGTAGCCACGTCAGCGCCGTGTACGTGAGATTTACCTACCGGTGCGGCCATCGCCGGTCGGTCACTCTGGAGGTGCCAGAATGATAGTCCGGTTAGAAACGTAGTATCCGGATGATTGTCATGGGCATCGACGACATGTCGAATGCTGAATGCGATGGAGTCTTCCATTCACCAAGGTTGTC